TATTATTAATAATTTACTATTTAATTTTAATAATTATAACAATTTTTATAAATTACTATCCCTAAAAAAAAATAGATCAGAATTATCTGACCTAGGACCTTCAAAGATACCTCGAAATTTTATATTAGCTTAAATTAGTAATAATAAATTATATTAAAATAATTTGCCTATTGAGCTAACTAATTAGAATAAAATAATAAATTCGCTCTTTCGTAATAAATAGCTAAATATATGCAAAATTAAATATAATTAATTAACTAAAATAAATACCTAGGAAGCTATTTCTAAAACAGATAATTCAATTTAAAAGATCTTACTATTAAAATAAATATAGAAATACAAATTTACTAATCAAGATTAATTATTAAAATTTAAAATAAGAATATATATTCGCGGAGACCTTTAACTAATTAATAATCTTGATTTTAGGGCTATTACTCTAGCCACATAAACATTTAGGATTATTATAGCCCTAATTACCGCTTTTAACCTTGAAATAGCTTAATAGGATATAGTAAATATATTTTTAAATAATAAATTAGATAAATTAATTTATGTTTTACTGCCTCCCGGATTTACTTAACAAAATAAGGTTTTTAAACTAAAACAAGCTTTATATGGACTACGCTAATCCCTATTACTATAGTAACACGAAATAGGGAATACTCTGTAAAAATTAGGCCTAAAATCAGTGCCTAAAGATCCCTGCCTATTTATAAATAATTATATAATTTTAATAATTTATATGGATAATATTATTTTATTATATAATTAAAATTATTAATTAAAAATCAACAAATTAAAAAATCAATTATTTTTAATATATGATCTAAAGGATTTAAGTGAAATTTACTAATTCCTAAATATAAAGGTTATTTAAAACTAGTAAAATTAAATAATTTAGCTTAATCAAGCAGATTATATTAAAAAAGTTACTTACTGCTTTAAATTAGCTAATCAGAATTTATCTAAAATACTCTTACTATCTAGCAATTTAAGCGAATTTATAGAGTAACTGCTTACTAAGCTTTATTATATAAATTATTAAAAGAAAATTAGCTCAGTCCTATATCCTGTAGTTATTTCTAGGCCAGATATTACAAAAAATTGCGAAATCCTTGCAGAATATATAGCCAAACTTTATTTAAACTATATAAATACAGTAAATCACCTGATTTTATTTATTTATAGAACCCGATTTAATTTAATTTAATATAGTCTTAATTTAATAGATTAATTAAAATTACTACTAATTTTCAAAATAGCTAGTAATACAGATTATACAGATTTATTATAAAGAAAGTCATCTAAAGGCTTTATATATTATTTATTTAGCAGACCTATTAATTAGTCAGCTAGAAAGTAAAAAATGATTACCCTATCTACTACTGAAATAGAATTATTAGCCCTAACTACGGCTAGTAAGTATTTTCTATAGTAAAAATACTTATTTACTACTATAGGATTTAATCCTAAAGAAAAATTATATATTTATTATAATAATTATTAAACAATTGACCTGCTTACTAAGCCTAATTTAATTTATAAAACTAAATTAAAATATATAAATATTAATAATCACTGGCTCAGGCAAGAAATCAAGAAAAAATCTATTAAATTAAAATAGATCTCTTGTCACAGTGCAACCTGGCACCATGCAGCTGTGTTCTGTTCTGTTCTGTTTCTGCCAGTTTCTCCCGTACCTGTTCTTCCTGCCTGGGGTTTATATATGCAAGCGCAGTGCAAAGCCTTTGGCTTTGCATACTAGTCTTTTGTTTAGTGCAGTGGTTTAGCTTTTGAATGCGCCCAAAGGCAACACCATGACATCTCTATTAATTAAATAATTACAGACAGCCTTACCAAACGCCTGACTAAATAAGAACATGCGAAATTTACTAAATAACTGAATATAGTTAATATTTAATATCTTATTAAATAATAATTAATTATTTATCAAATGGGGTCACCTGACATCACATGATTTACCGGAATCACCTGATTTACCCCTACAATCGAAATTTACTACGACTTTACTTTCACTTTATTGAACTCTCACTTCCACCACCAAATTGTATGGGAAAAGTGAGGTCAAACTGAGCTCAAAGTGAGCGAAAATTGAAAAGATCAGATTTCTGAAGAATTTCTTATTTTGGACTAGCTTACCTTCCTATTTAGGAAACACCTGACTACTTCCTAATTAGGAAACACCTAAATTAGGAAACACCTGACTACTTCCTAATTAAGGAATACCTAACTGTTTCCTATTTAGGAAATATCTGATCGCAAGAAACATATGATAATTAGAAAACCAGTTATTATCTATTTCCTAATTTGGAAATTAAAAGTTTATTCTTTTATGTTTGCAATGTTTGATTTATTTCAAATGTCTATAAATATGCAGACAATCCCCTGCATATTTTCATTCTTTTTGACAAGTTGATTTTACTGTTTCAATTTGACAAGTTGATTTCATCTATTCAATTTACTTATTGATTCATTCATTCATTAATCAATTTCACCCTTTCTTATCAATTCAATTAAAGTTGAATAATCGAAACCTTTGAGCTATCATTCTATAAGGTATTGCTCTAGGATCAGGTGACTACCACCTTCCTATTCGATCCTAGCCTACCTTCGACGTCTGACATTATTTAACACTTGCAGTTTTAATTAATACTTTATTAATTTAAACTAAAGAGGTATATTAATTAGGGTTATCTAATATTACCTGATTTATTAAAATCACCTGATCTTACTTTATAACTGAAATTATTTAAAATTTATTATAACTTTATTTTTATTTTATTGAACTCTCACTTCCACCATTAAATTATATAGGAAAAGTGAGGTGAAACTAAGCTTAATATAAGTAGAAAATAAAAAAGAAAAATTTTTAAAGAATTTCTTATTTTAGACTAGCTTATCTTTTTAATTAAAAAATCACTGGTTACTAGAATCCTATAAAAATTAAAAAACATAATTTAATAAATTTCCTATTTAGGAAATTAAAAGTTTATTTTAACCACTGTAATTAATAGCTTTGTTTAGATAATCAATACAAAGGGTCTAAAATATCTTGCCTATTTATTTTATAAGCCATAAAGTAAATATTACTACCCTAATTATTCTAATATTATTTAAATAATTTTATTATAATTTATATATTAAATCTTGATTATTTTAATTATTTTAATTATGAAATCTTGATCATTTAATTATTTAAATAATTAAATATTAATCTAATAATAATCTATGAGGTTAATCTTGAAGGCCTAGGTTAATAATATAACTTATAGATAAAGGCCTAAAAAGATCTAATAATTCCATATTTGCAATATTTGCTTAGGGCCAGATTAAATTAGCCCTGATTTAATTATCTATAAATATATAATTAATAACCTGTATTAATTTATTCTTTTCATTAAGTTGATTTATCTACTTAATTTATTCAATTAAATTTTATTCATTCATTCAATCAATTTCACCTATCTACATGCATAGCGAATGGTAGGACCTCTGGTCTATCTATTTCAGATCTAGGTGGTCCAGGTGAACTGTTTACTTCATCTGACTGATCGATTTTCCTTATTCTATCTAGCCATTTGAAATTTCTATTCAACCCACGTGACCTACCTACCCCATCTGACAACAGGTAATAGGTATAGGTCCTGACCTTGGACCTGACCCATGGGTTTAGGTCCTAATCTTGGACCCATGACGGGTTTTGTCGAGGTCTACTCCTATAGTCTGGTTGCTCCGTGTTCCGCACTGAGATAAACACCGGTGATAAATTTTTAGTTATTAAAAACTTTTAGTATTTATTAATATTATTTATATAAATTTTTTATTTATTTATTTATAATTTACTAGTAATTTTTAATTAGAGTTATTTTTAATATATTTTAATTAATTTATAATAAAATTTATAAATATTTCATATTTATTAATTCAATATTTACTAATAATTTTTAATTAACTAATTTTATTCTTTTAAAAGTAGCTTTTATTCTAATTTTACCACCTGACCAACTTTTATGTATTGAAAGATTACGACCCGGCGAGCTAAATTATGAAAATTTACTAGTAATTTTCAATATTTTATTGAAAAACCCGGCCACCCGACGACCTGGCGATACTGACCTGGCGATACTGACCCGGCGACCTGACGAGCGAATTACCTCTTGCACAACCTCCAGAAGTACCTCCAAAATGTTATCGATGCCACTGTTTAGGAACGTGGGATATTACACGCCGATCAAATCGCAAGGGAAACGCAGGGCGTCCTTACTATAAATGTAATCACTGCAGAAAATTTCTCTGCTTTGCTGATGATCGTGGTAATGACCCGTCTAATCCATCATGCTATTGCGGGCGTTCGAGCAAACTTCAAGTCGCTGGCTATGATAAAGTGGTTGCAAGAGGATTGCATTGTGTCTGTCGGATAGGTGAATGTGGTTTCTACAGCCCATGCAAAGACACTCAGGGTCGTCATCTTCAAGTGGCATCAGAAGACCTTCTGGACCGCTTCATAAACCTGCGTATCGTTTGAAGTATTTCAAAGGAATAAAAAACTTGCCAAATAGATTCAACGTGCTACCGAAAATGAAGCGCCGAGCCGTCCGCGCTGTCTATTATGGATATCCTACCAGTTGGTGTCTAATTTTGTTTTCGACTCTCGCTAAGGAGCATATTGCCATATTACAAAAACACATCAGACTTTTGTTCCACTACCTGTACCTGAAGCTTTTCATTTCGTTTTCTTCCCTTGCCCGGTTACGGAAAGAGTGTGATTAACTGTTGACTGAGTCAGTTAAGTTAGTAAGTGCTTCAGTGCCCACAGGTCTCAGCGCTTAGATATAGCGAAAACTGGGGAAATTAGTGCTGAAACATATCTACCAATCAGCTCGTGCTGTGGCAGCGATGTGTTGTCCTCAGGAGGTACAGCTGCTGCGAAGCGGGGTAGACCTTGTCCCAGAAAACTGTTCGTAACCCCATCCAAGGCCATGCTCCGAGCTTCCAGTGCAATCTTTTAACATCCTATAGTCCCACTACCAGCAACCAGATTCAACATGCCACGCAAGGGACGCAAAGCTGCGAAATTGTGGTCGCTCCACCCGAAGCTTCATGACGACATAGCACAGCTGTTAGACGAGGAAGGTCTTCAAATAGACTTCTTTGACGCCGATGATGAGGAAACCAACATTGAGGAACGGGACACGAACGTCATGGGCCGATTCATCTGCCAAAACAAGGGATGTAACTCCAGTGGTTGGTCGAGCAAAAAGATAGCGATTACAATTCGCATGTACTCCCAACAGCGATACAATGCGCGGGTGTATCACCAGCGATGCAGAAATTGCAGAACCGTTGGTCGGCTCATCCTAGATAGCGGGTGCTATGCGGAAAGAGTGACATACTGGCTCAAAAAATGGAATGGATTTGAGGTACGGCAGCCCGATTATTCTGGCCAGAGCAGAGGTCCGCACGATAGTGAACTGTGTGAAGGGTGTAAAGTTGGTCATTGTCCAAACTCGAATGAGGATTTAGCATTGGTGCTGGCTAGGTAAGATTCGTACCTGGAGTTCTAGTATAGTAACCAATTTTTCTAGATTGTCGATCTGAGCGATGCGCTACCTGGTATGCAAGGGCCAACCATCCCGCCCGAGGAGGCACAGCTTTGAGACGGAGATTTCAGGGTCGAAACTCTAATAAGATCGATTAACAGTCTGGCGTTACTACTTGATTTTTGGCTTTCTGGTGTATGACTCTCAGTATGAAATCTATTAGCACCGCTTATTTAAGAGCAGCTGCTTATAGTTAAAGGCCATAAAATAACATAAGACCCTTCTAGAGGGCTTAAGCCTAATCTCTTCCTTAATACCTCATCTCCATATTAAAAAAGGAATGCGAGATAGAATGTAGAACAGCGGGATTAGGAAAAGAGCACACCAAGTTAAAGCAAATCTTAGTTTACTATGGTGGTATACTGTTCAATAAGACCATATAGAAAAGCGTGCTCGCGACAATATATAAACTTATAGAAGAATCTATAGAACCCTCCAAGCCCATAATGGAATAATAAGGCAGAGCTCTACAAAGATAAACACTAAGCTTCCTCCAAAAACCAGGCTATAGTAAGTCCACGCATTGTTAGGACAGAGTTTGGCAACTTGGCAGGCAACAGCCCAAGGGAGGACATAGAGAATGTTAGAGGCGAGAGACTGGCCTAGATACCACGGTAGACAGGTAGCTAATAGTATGGTCGCCAGCCGAGTGGATATCGCATATAGTATATAGCACCTGTATATACCTTTGTAAGATATTGGAGTCCGCATAAGAGGGCTGTTGCAGTCCTCACTAATCTATCATTTGTTATATGTGTGTTATGATTTTAGTTACCGACTTTCATTGACTGAGATAGAACGCAAATGGTTTGCAGCTAAATATGGCAAGGAATATACAAAGTGGCATCTTAATAATTACTGCAATAGCAGCAGCAAGAAACGCTGGTCGTGTTACCACTAAAGAAGGTGAAGATCTCAGGAAAAACAGTCGTTCACGTCAAGGGATTAGAGCATACTAAAAAAAACCTTTTATTTCCCACGTTGTACACCAGTAATTCTAGATGCTGTCTAGGCATGTCCGACAAATGCTAATGATGTCGCTTCTAAAGCCTGAACTAGTACCATAACTAATCCCCATCTGATCATGGTGAAAATACCCCAGGCCGTGGCGTAATCTGCCGACATGGCGACGATCCCGGCCACCAGCCAGAGATAAAGCATATTCCGAATGGCTGACTCTATAAAGGCGATCGAACCTGGCTTGAGAAGCGTAAACAGGGCAGATAGACTAAGTATATCCTCGCTCCAGAGATGTCTAAGCCTGGTACTTGCCCTTTTAGTAGAACTAAAGAAATAAAACAAGCCTGAGAGCGCTACGACCATTTTATAGGTCAGACGGACCGCGGCCTGCAAATTGACGTTAGGGTTCCAGCCGCTTACATGGAACTTGGATATCAATAATAGATCTAATACAAGGTTTACCATAATCTTGACGGAGCTTATCAAGAGAGGGATATTTGGCTTATCTAAAGCCCTTGTGGTATTCGACGTCGCAACTTCAATGGCGGAACTAAGAGCCGAGAACACACTAGTTCGGACATAGGTGGTACTAGCCTTTTGGACCTTACGTGGGACAAAGGTCGCAGCGAATGCTGCAGCAGCACCAGTAAATATAATGCTTATAGCAAGTCCTAGGAGTGACTGAAATGTTATTAGAGTATATGTGAGTCCCAGACGAGATTTGTATATTCGCGTGGATTTGTTAGCAATAGTTACCCAGATTGTGCGTGGAAGACCTTCGTTGAGGACCTCTGTGATAGTACTAATATAGGTATAGGCGTCTGTTGTGACTACTAAGGAGGAGTCAATGTTAGAAATCCAGATCTTGACTAAGGTACTGTATAGCGTAGGAAGTATAAAGGCGCCGATATTAAGTAGCAGAGCTTTAATATAGCTGGGGATAATTATTAGATAGCTAATCGCTCATTCTCTTGGACATTTATGTACTTATCTTGAACACGAGGCCCAAGGGATTCGATCAAAGTCCCATCAACCTGAAGGGGGGTATCACTTGCAAGGAGAAATTATGGCCCGTTGCCAATGTTTGATTAGTTTATTAGTGCTCGTTTTCGCGAACACTCGTTGTAAACGAGCCAAACACCACCGCGCCCAAAGAAAGAAAGCCGAAACTAGAGGCCTTTTCCGTCGCACTTGGCGCAAGAGCGGAGCAGAACCCATTCTCCGGCGAGCTGGCAGCAATGGCACACGCATTGAAGACACTACCAGTACAGAAACTGTACAGAACCACGCTGTAGTAACTAGCAACAACCAAGTAACACAGGCTCGCTGAGAACAAAAATTTAACATATTTGGGAGAGATGAGAAGGTATGTTGTAATAGAAATGGCCTTGACGTCACTATTACACATAAGGACGTGAACACTAATGATTAAGTTTATCTGAATTGAATATTCTAATCTAACAAGTGATCATAGACTATGTCATCTAGTTACATACATACTATCACACCTAGCTTTTTGGTTTGTGGGCGTGTCGTCATATACAAACAGCAAGAAAGGCTGAGAGATAGTTCTTTTCTCCGCAAACGGAAAAAATAAAGCTATAAATATCGTGTTCCCACCTAGCTTTCCTTCTCTTTCACAGTTATACCAGATAGAAGCAATATCTATTCGGATACGTTAATCCAAACACATTCACTATAATCTATTTATTGGCGAGTGTATCAGGGACAATGATCCCGGAGGTAAGGAACTGAGGATATCACAAGCATACATAATATCATACAGTATCTGACAGACAATGCCAGACATTCTCGTCGGTTCATGTCGGTTCCACGCCTATTTTTGGCGTTGTTAGTGGCCAATACAGCATCTTAGTTGCTAATAATGAGGGGTCATTGATTATATATGCCCCAGAAAGTACAAGTGATGGGTCCAAGTACATAAAGTTACCAGTTAAGATTGGTGATGCTCCCGCAACAGCGGACAAGGGTACTTCGGTTGCAGTAGCTGCCTATACATCATCCGTGCTGGTTTGTCCACCATGATGTCCAACGTTTCTCAAGCTAATTTTACATTATGAAGACCGCCACTATTCACTTATATTACGTTAAAAACGGGATATTGAGCGACCTTACATTGGTAATCGCGCCAGACAACAAACCAGCCTCGGCTCTGAAAGATAAATCCTGGTATACTGGGACGATCGCGACAAGGGAAATTTCTCCTATAGGCAGCATTTCGGCTTCTGAAGGTTCTGAGTTTCAAGCTAGAGTGTATACCGTTGCAAAGAATGACCCTGATGTATACACTGTTATATACAGTCCACAGGGCGCCAGCTACTGGTTTACGGATCGAATTAAGCCTTGAGAACCTTTGCCGGCCAAAGTCTGCTCAAGGGTAAAAATAAAATCATACTGCTTGTGTTGATGGAGAAAAATGACAGAAATATGATCCGGGGATAAGGAGTGCCATATGCCAAACGTCATGTACAGAGCCTTGGTATGGGTTTTTACCTTAAATTAGAGGTTTTCCCCATGCTGTTATGCGAATGCAAGGGCTATCTGGATTCATTATAAGTACTGTGCTAATATATACAATAAGTACTGATTAATTATTTCATTCGAATTCACCGCTTCTTATACTATAGCAGATGAGAGGGCACTAACCGGGAAATAAGTGTTAGTAAGTTTATTAATAGAGTGATTGGTGGTGCCCTTGGCGCAGTTAGTAGTGAGTTTGCAACTGGCTCACTCAAGACCACCACTAAACCCAGCTGAGTTAAGCTGGGCCATGTGCTCTTGTCAAAGAATACTGGGGTGCCATTAACTAGTTTTTTACTAGCTGCTAACTGGTTCCAGTACTGTTGCCTGAATCGGTTCCAAGAAGTCCCTTCGGACCGTCGGCTTGGCTGGTTGATAGGACTTTCTTGACTCGGCTGATGGCTTAATAACCTGGGATAGCTGATAACTTGTCTCCTGTAGATCACAAGTTTTCACGAAAAGCATTTTTAGGCTGGACAAATTTCAGATTCGAGGCATACGGCTACTATTGGTTATACCAAGTCCAGGTAGTCCATACAGGCACTGCACTGGTACATCATTTAAAAGAGTCATCTGGCATGGAAATAGAGACATAACTTACTCAAATACCTGAGTCATCCTAAAATCGTCCATTCGGTTTCCAGCGCTCGTCTGTCTTGTTATGAAACCAATAGTTCCAGTCATCGCAAGTCTTATTTGACTGAGCCATCTCCCATTTCTGCCTGCCCAAAATCTGACAAAAAGCCTCTTTCTGTCCTAAAACCTGAAGTGCAAAGCCCAACGACACATGCCACGCTATATGGTAATGAAGTAGCCAAGCACCGGGTTTGTCAATTTTGAACGCAATGGCGACGTAACCATTACCAGGAAGTAGAGTGACATCGCGACGGGGAGGATTATATTTAGCGTGAGATTGAGAGATTTGGGTCCTTGGTACGGGGACTCCGATTGTTCTAGCACGGCGAAGTCATGACCATGCAGATGAATCTGAAGTAAATGAGCGTACAAATCAGTTTCATGGCACATTAGTTACTGTAGCGGGATGGACCAACTCACCGGCTGGGCTGAAGGGCTCAGGTTGCCCCAAGGGATCCATGAAATATCGCCCGGATTCACCGCCCCTTTTATGACCATGTATATCCAATAGTCTCACCTGCCCCGTGTTCGACTCGATGTATAGTAGATTTTTGTTTGACGAGTGGACCAGGCAAAAATCGCGGGCGCATTTTTCTACGTGGTCTGTTCAGTAAAGCGCGATGGTCATACAGCTCAGCTCTTGGGGAGGTGTCCACTCATATTAAGCCCCCCCCCACAATTAGACTCTACCCTCAGAACTTATCCGTCTTATGCAGGAACCAAAGTACTCTAGAGAACATATCAAAGCCCGGTCGCGGGATCAAGAAATGGAATAATGTAGCATTATCTGTCTCAAATAATAAAATCCCCTCAAACTTTCTAGGCTGTTCTAGATTCTCGCGCACAAATTCAAACCAATAAAAACATGCGTCCATGCCTACGGCGGATAACAGCGGCCATGCGGAAAAAATCATTTTTTACTATAATTAGTAATCTCATAAAGTGGATCTGCCGGCAGAATCTAATATTAAAACTATATATACACTAACTTGCTTGGCTTTATTATTCGGCTACTAGTCCTAAATATTATATAGAGGTATAAGTTTTACTTTAATATTATATATAGATATTTTATATAATTAAGATGCTTTTAATTAAAAAAATAATTAATTTATTTAATCTAAGATAATTAGATTATCTTTATTAAAGATTAATAAAATCTATAAAAGTATAATTTTATTTTTTTCTTGTCACCGGCGCTTATCTCAGCGCGGAACACGGAACAACTGGACTGCCGGAGGTCTGTAGGGTTGCTGAGGTATTCAGTAGAGTTGGCATTCGGGACCGCAAAACCCGCATCTGTACCGCACTGAACCTTATGAGGTGCGGATTCGGTCCCTAGGGGTAGAATCCGTAATAGATTCGGATTCTGAAGGTTCAATCCGCAGCAGATTTGCGGATTACCAAAATTTATAGCTTTTTAAAAAAATTAATTAAAAATAATTAAAAATAATATATATATAATTTATATATTAATTTATATAAATATTATTTTTTAAAATTTTTAACTAATTTATTTGCTGAGTTATTAAAGAAAAAAATTAAAAAACAAGTTAGTTTAGAAGATATATAGTAGATATATATATATCTACTTGCACTAAATCAATTTGGTAGTATAAAATAAAAGAATTAAAATAATAAGTTAAATAAATTAATTAAAATTAATTAAAAATAATATATATATAAATATAGACATAAATTATATATAAATAATTTTGAATTATTTTTTATTAATTTATTTAACTTATTATTTTAATTTTTTTATTCTATACCACTAAATTAATTTAGTGTAAGTAAATATATATATATCTATTATATACCTTCTGAATTAACTTATTTTTTAATTTTTTTCTTTAATAACTTAGCAAATAAATTAGTTAAAAATTTTAAAAAATAATATTTATATAAATCAATATATAAATTATATATATATTATTTTTAATTATTTTTAATTAATTCTTTTAAAAAACTATAAATTTTAATAATCTATAAATCTATTACGGATTAAACCTTTAGAATCTAAATCTATTACAGATTCTACCCCTAGGGACCGAATCCGCACCTAATAGGGTTCGGTGTAGTGCGGATGCGGGTTTTGCGGTCCTGAATGCCAACTCTAGCCCTAACTAACCTGTCTAAGCTATATTAAGCAGATATATTCTTCTTACAGAGCTTATATAAAAAAATATTAACTAATTCTTTATTAATTACTTCTTTAAAATACTACAGCCAGACTTGTAAAAAGATATTAAATAGGCCCCTAAACTACTAACTAATAAAAGGCTAAAGAATCTTATTAAAACAGGTACCCTAGTAGAATAATATAAATAATTAATAAAATAAAATAAGGAATCTTACTAAATATTATAATTATATAATAGATTATTTTTTAAAGATAAATATTCCTCTTAAGGAGGAAACTTTTTTTAAGAAAAGAACTCCTAAAATAGTTTCTTTATTTCTTAAAATAATTTTTTAACTTTTTAGGGTAATAATATATTATATATAAAATATAAGTATTTTAAAAAAAATAGCTATTTTAAGTAGTAGGCCTTTAGAGAAAAAAGAAAATACCTAAATAAAAATAAATATTATTTTATTTATAAAAAGGAAGAGTATTATTTTTAAAATTATTATTTCTAAAAAAATAAAAAATTATTTATAAATATAATTTTTAATAGAGCAGAACTTTTAATAATAAAAAAAAATAATTTTTTTTCAATAAAAAAATATATTTCTAATCCTTAATATAATTAAATCTAATATCTTATTATAATTCTTCCCTCTTTATATAGATATTTAACTACATATAAAGAAAAAATAAGTTATTATAAATTTAATATTAGATATAGGGGCAGATAATAATTTTATATTATATTATTAGTTAAAAAGTAAGGTTTTTAATTTAATATTAGTTAAATATTAGTCCCTGTCTGTTTCATTAAAAATCAGATAATATTTTAATACAGAATACTATAAAAAGATATAAAAGTCTTTAATTTAGATAATAATATATATAATTATATTATATAATTTTATATTATTAATATAGCAAATTATAATATTATACTTAACAGAAGCTAAATAAGTTTTATGAATCTTAATTTTAATATTATCATAAAAATCTAATAATATTATAATAGATTACCGACAATCAGCTTAATATCTTATTATTAATTTAAATAACACTACCATACTAAAGAATCTAAAATACTATTTAAAATAATTATATTAAAATAGGAAACTCCTAGTCTCCCTAAGTAATATATCTAATTTAAAAAGTATTCTCTAAATAAAAGGTAATATCTATATTAATAAGATTAATAAAATATATTATTTTATTAAAGTCTAATATAGAATCTCTGTATAAATCTTTATATAATATATTTTATATTAAGTTAAAAACACTATAAGACTATTTAAATAAAATAATTAAAAAAGAATAGATTTAGTCCTTTAGTAAATCTGTTACGGCCCCTATTTTGTATATTAAAAAACCTAATAATAGCTTATAATTATATATAAACTACTAGAGATTAAATAAAATTATAAATTAATTAAAAAATACTAAAATTTTTATAAAACTAGACCTGTATAATATTTATTATTAAATATATATTTATTAAAAAGATAAATAAAAAACAGCTTTTTAAACTTACTATAAACAGTATAAATATATAATAATACTATTTAAATTATATAATACTCCCTCTATATTCCAGGCCTATATAAATAAGGCACTATAAGGGATTTTTAATAATTATTATATTATTTATTTTAATAATATCTTTATTTTCTTAAAAAGAGAAAAAAAATGTATTTAATATATTAATAAAATATTAGAATATTTAGAATATTATAATCTTTTTATAAAAATATTAAAATATATATTCTATATAAAAGAAGTCTATTTCTTGGGCTTTATTATTAACTAAAAAAAGATTTAATTAAATTTTTCTTAATTAAATATAATTATATAATAGCCAGAGCTATAATTAGTTTATAATATTTAAATATTTTTAGGATTTACTAGATTCTTTAGAAGATTTATTTATTAATATATAATAATTATTACTCTTTTTATTAACCTACTAAAAAAGTTAAAAATAAAAGAATAATTTTAAATAATATTTAAAAGATATATTATTTTTAAAAAGTTAAAAAAAATATTTACAAAACTACTAATATTAGAATATTATAATTTTAAATAATAATATCTTATAATTGTAGATATTTTAGGCTATATAATAGCTAGTATTATTTTATAATCTATAAATAAATTATAAGGGTCCTATAGATAAAAGGCTTAAAAATTAATTATTTTTTATTTAAAGAAGCTTAAAGACACTAAATAATAATAAAAAAAATATATAACTAAAAATTATTAATAATTATTAAATATTTTAAAATATAGTAGTATTATCTTACAGGTGGACTGTAGATAGTTTATATATAAATTAATTATATAAACTTTAAATATTTTTTTATAATAAAGATTTTAAATATAAAATAAACTTAATAAGCTAAACTACTTATAGCTTATAATTTTATAATTAAGTATAAGCCTAGCCATAGAAACCTTATAAATATATTATTAAAATAATAAAATTACTAGCTGAATACTAAAAAAAAATAGAATATTAAAATATTATTAATATTCTAAAAAAAAGTTATAGCTAAAAAACCCTTAAAAATTATTTTTATAAAATAAGATAGATTTTAAGAGATTATTTTAAAAAATAAAAAAAAATTTAAAATTTTTATTTTTAAAAAATAATATTAAAATTAGAATTAATAATATTTATACTCTAGATTATACCGCATTACACGAAAACTAAATTAATATTTAAACTAGTTTATAAAAAAATCAGACTAATAAATAAGTAAATAATAATTATTTATAGGAATACTAACTTAATATATAAATAAATTTATAGGTAGATCAGACTAGTAAGTAAATAAAAAATAATAATATCTTACAGATAAGCTTAATTAGTATATAAAATAATTATAAAAAGATTAAATATAGATCTAATACTAGAGGCCTTAAAGCCTTAATATAATAAATATAACTTAAAAATATCTTTATATGTGTCAGATGAAATGCCAACCCGGGCTCATAACTGTCAGATGGGGTAGGTAGATCACGTGGGTTGAATAGAAATTTCAAATAGCTAGATAGAATAAGGAAATCGATCAGTCAGATAAAGTAAACAGTTCACCTGGACCACCTAGATCTGAAATAGATAGACCAGAGGTCCTACCATTCGCTATGCATGTAGATAGGTGAAATTAATTAAATAAATGAATGAAATTCAATTAAATGAATTAAGTAGGTAAATCAACTTAATAAAAAGAATAAATCAATGCAGGTCATTAACTGCATATTTATAGATAATTAATTAAATCAGGGCTAATTCAATCTGGCCCTAAACAAATATTACAAACATAAAATCATCAGATCCTTCTAGGCCTTTATCTATAAGTCATATCATTAATCTAGGCCTTCAAGATTATCCTCATAGATCATTATTAGATCAATATTTAATCATTTAAATAATCAAATAATCAAGATTTCATGATCAGAATAATCAGAACAATCAAGATTCAACACATAAATCATAATAAAATCATTTAAATAATATCAGAATAACCAGGGTAGCAATATTCACTTTATAGCTTATAAAATAAATAGGCGAGACATTCTGGACCCTTTGTATT